TATCTTCACGATGTGGAAATGTGGAGCAAACTAACCTTTAATATCTCTGGCGAGGTTTTTCCAGGTGGGTGAGAACGCGACGCAGTGTCCGCACCAGGTCGCGTAAAACTCCACGAAAAGAGCCGCGCTGGAGTTAAAAAGCACGGAGTCCACATTCTCCGGGGATAAAATAATAATCTGATCCGACGCTGTGTACAGCCCGGCTTCAGCGATTAAAGAACTAAGACTTATAAAAGAAATAAAAGCACATAAGAAAGAGTTAAAGGGATTTAATTTGGTTTTTGTCGTGTAACAAGACGTGGCACAGCAGCTCCAGCGCGCCATCTTCCCTTATTTCAGCTCCAACTAAACTAACTCTATTAGAAAGTGATAGAAAGTTTACTGCGACTGGTCACACGTTCAACTCCCTCCCACTTAACTCTACACAGCTCCCTCTCTCTTTGAACCCGAAATAGCTCTCACAGCAGAACACATCAATATGGGTGTTTTTTCAAACTTCTTAAACTTTTATGTCCCAGTGTTTGTTTTTATTACAACTAAGAGTTTTAATATATATAGGCTATTTTTCTTTTTGTTATATGAAGGTCACATTTTTACCATGCCATGACGTTCAGTTGGTTTTTACGTTTAATTTGAATAATTTTATCTTGTCCCAAGCCCAATTGTTATATGAATTGTGTTTAAAACTATAATAGTCCCAACAAAGAGTGAGATAAATATAAACCACTTTCATTTTATAATTTTCAAACGATTTTATCTATTTGTACACAAATTAAAATCGTCCCAGAGTTGTGGCGTTATTTCCATCGCGAACAAACTTTTCAGTCTTTTTTTTTTTTTTTAAGTTATGCATTACAAAATGTGGAGAAAGAAAATAAACATTAAATCAAGTGTTGTATTATTTACAGACTGAACATGGAGGGAGATAGATATATCTGGTTGTATATGTTTACTTATTTTCATTGATATGTGGATGCTAAATGTCATATAGCCTACTTTTTTTTGCTGAATTAATCACATTAACTAATCACATCTATCACAAGCCTTTGAAATTTCAAACCATATGCTCTAAATTCCCAGACAGGTCCATTTTTTTCATTCCTTTCATCAATATCTTTATGTTGCCTAACTAAAAAAATAACACAATTTTAGGATATATATTTGTTCCAACCTACGAAATACATCTCTGGATTTTATTAGACTTATGTACCAGAGTAGGTTTGGTCATTCCTAGGACAGTATTGACACCTTGATCCATTCGTTCAGAATCACCCTTTCCTCAAATATTGACATATTGCGTACAGTGGGTACGGAAAGTATTCAGACCCCCTTCAATTTTTCACTCTTTGTTATATTGCAGCCATTTGCTAAAATCATTTAAGTTAATTTTTTTTCCTCATTAATGTACACACAGCACCCCATATTGACAGAAAAACACAGAATTGTTGACATTTTTGCAGATTTATTCAAAAAGAAAAACTGAAATATCACATGGTCCTAAGTATTCAGACCCTTTGCTCAGTATTTAGTAGAAGCACCCTTTTGATCTAATACAGCCATGAGTCTTTTTGGGAAAGATGCAACAAGTTTTTCACACCTGGATTTGGGGATCCTCTGCCATTCCTCCTTGCAGATCCTCTCCAGTTCTGTCAGGTTGGATGGTAAACGTTGGTGGACAGCCATTTTTAGGTCTCTCCAGAGATGCTCAACTGGGTTTAAGTCAGGGCTCTGGCTGGGCCATAAAGTTCTATCTTGGTCTCATCAGACCAGAGAATCTTATTTCTCACCATCTTGGAGTCCTTCAGGTGTTTTTTAGCAAACTTTCATGTGTCTTGCACTGAGGAGAGACTTCCGTCGGGCCACTCTGCCATAAAGCCCCGACTGGTAGAGGGCTGCAGTGATGGTTGACTTTCTGATTATGGAGGCCACTGTGCTCTTAGGAACCTTAAGTGCAGCAGAAATTTTTTTGTAACCTTGGCCAGATCTGTGCCTTGCCACAATTCTGTCTCTGAGCTCTTCAGGCAGTTTCTTTGACCTCATGATTCTCATTTGCTCTGTGAGCTGTAAGGTCTTATATAGACAGGTGTGTGGCTTTCCTAATCAAGTCCAATCAGTATAATCAAACACAGCTGGACTCAAATGAAGGTGTAGAACCATCTCAAGGATGATCAGAAGAAATGGACAGCACCTGAGTTAAATATATGAGTGTCACAGCAAAGGGTCTGAATACTTAGGACCATGTGATATTTCAGTTTTTCTTTTTTAATAAATCTGCAAAAATGTCAACAATTCTGTGTTTTTCTGTCAATATGGGGTGCTGTGTGTACATTAATGAGGAAAAAAATTAACTTAAATGATTTTAGCAAATGGCTGCAATATAACAAAGAGTGAAAAATTTAAGGGGGTCTGAATACTTTCCGTACCCACTGTATGTGCCTCTTGTCCAAAGTTTCTGACTGGGTACATAACACCCAAGGCAAAATTTAAACATTTTACACAAGGCACATGTCACAATTATAGTACACTTTGCTGTGCCATTAGCAGAGGCACAAATATTTATTTATTGTGAAAACTGCTGAATGTGTTGAGCTAGTATCTAACAAAATTATACATCAAATGTCTGTTTACCCCCTCCCCCACATCAGAGGTCTGGACTTCCTTGACTGTATCCAACAACTAAAATCATACAATGTCATGATCACTTTCTCCTTTTCTCTCACTTCCTAATCTAGTCAAATAAACCTAGAATTGTAAATTACGAATATTGTTGGCTCCTTGACGAATTACTTTTGTTTCTCTTTTTTGAAAAAAGTAGCTAAGGCATAAACGCTAATGTTATTTGACATGCAATTCACTGTTAACAAAGTGTAACAACCAAAAACTTAATATTTAATGTCATTCTGCTTCAGTTTTAAACGTTAAAAGGTGTTTGTATATATACAGTGGTGTGAAAAAGTGTTGGCCCCCTTCCTGATTTCTTATTTTTTGCATGTTTGTCACACTTTAATGTTTCAGATCATCAAACAAATTTAAATATTAGTAAAAGATAACACAAGTAAACACAACATGCAGTTTTTAAATGAAGGTTTTTATTATTAAGGGAAAACAAAATCCAAAACTACATGGCCCTGTGTGAAGAAGTGTTTGCCCCCCTGTTAAAACTGTGGTTTATCACACCGGAGTTAAATTTCTCTAGCCACACGTGACAAACATGCAAAAAAATAAGAAATCAGGAAGGGGGCCAACACTTTTTCACACCACTGTATAATAAAACTGGGGTTTAAACAGCATTTAGACATGCACATCTTTTACTAACAGTTTGTTAAAAAGGGCCCTATTTTGTACATTCTGATTATAAAAAGTCATGACAAAAAATTGTAAAAGATATCACGGCAAATGTTATGACTGAGAAATGACGAGATCTTTATTTACAATTTCCAAAGGATCAGTTCAGTTAACAAATATATCTATAATATGTACATGGAAGCAAAAGGAACCACGTCCAATTTCACAGCAATCTTCCACTCACAGGAGATAGGCATCGACGATATTTACATGGGTAAAACAATTTACAAGTCTTCAAGTACACCTCTGTCACTCACAGTACATCATTATAAATACGCATACACTTACGGGACGTGAAACATTTCTACGACCTACCAATTTAAAAGTAGAAACTGATTATCAAACCACTTGTGCCAAACAAATCCTAATTTCCCACCCACAGTTAAAAGTTTAAACGCATTAGCCAAAAAGACTATTAGTAGTAGCCTATTTTCAGAACGAGGTAGAGATCTCCGTTACCTATATAATTAGACATGCTATTGGACGAGCGACTGATGCTTGGTATCAGAGACTCTGTTGCTGCATAGATTAAGTTTAACCCACTGACACGGCACAGTACTCTAGATCTAACCTCACAATGATGCTGCAGGTCACTATTGGACAGACTGGCTCAGGAAGTACAGCTTTTAGAGGTGAGGAAAGGCTGGTTACAGCTAATTATACACATAAGATGATAATCTGTTTCTTATGAGACCAGGCTTGTAATGGCGACTGATTTATAAAAAAAAAATATGTACATCACAGTTTTCGTGGATAACAGACGAGATGGACGTGCTGAGCCCTTGAGCAGTTCCTCGGAAAGGTACACAATGAGTAAAACGCCTTCTTTAAAAGTAAACAAATGTGTCCTTGTGCCAGTGATAGCGTAACATTACCACTCGTCTTTTTTAAACACAAAAATGTACTTTAAAAAGGTTCTGATGATGGGTACACGCACAAAGTAAGGCAGAAATGTACATCTTACAGTATTAGAGGTTTGTCCAGCTATGAAAAAAGAAGTTAAGACAAGATTAAAGCCAAAAGGGACCATTACAACACTGGTCAAAGGAAGGCCGGGAAAAGTCGCTCGTGTGTGAGCAAACGCAACAATGGAGGCACTTAAAATGAATGGGATAAAAGGCAAACGTTAAGGCTAGAACCCAGCATGTCAGTGTTTAGCACAGTTCATATATTTCAATTCAATCTTTTGGCAACCAGTAACTGTAGCAGGTGTTGCCAATACAACATTGTTGTGTATGGACCAAAACAAAACCATTACCCGAAGTTTTCCTGTTGCTTTCAAAAAGCAGAGTTATATATAATTTACATATTTTTGCATTCAACATTACCTTGCTTCAAATAGCAGAGTTATATATAATTTACATATTTTTGCATTCAACATTATCTTGCATCAAATCCCTTTACACTGTATTGCCATTTCAACATTCAAATTGTACTTATTGTGCTTAGTTCTGCAATTAATCATGTCAATGGTAAAATAATCTTTTCCTTAAACACTTTCCAATGTTACTTTCAAATTCAAATGTTACTTTTTAAAAAATAAATTAATAGAATTAAAAGAAAAAAAACAAGTGTTTCTTATGATACAATCTAATTGGAAATAAAAACAAGTTTTTAAATCCTTAGGTCTGTCCTGATTTGATCTGACCCTTGTGTTTTAATCATGAGACTTGAGAATGGCAGAGCCAGTTTTAGCAGCAATGATGAACAGACACAGTATGGGGAATCTGGACCCAAACAGCTGCTACAATTAACACCGGACCATCAAGAGCCGAGTTCATCAGGCTTCCTAGATGAGAATGTGAACATCTCCATGACAAGTCAGACCTCTGACAAGGTCTAGAATCCTGAATCCACAACTCTCCGTGGCCTGCACAAGCAGACTGAAAGGGAATTCCTCACTGAATGGCCTTTTATGCCAAATCCTCCATTTTGTGTTTAACAGAAGGTACCTAAAACATTTCTCTGTACAGATGAGAACACCATCACAGAGTTCTTTTGGACTTCTTCTCCTGAATTTGGGTCAGAACGTCAGTTGTGTCTTTTAGCAAGGCATCAAAAATCCCATCAGCAAGCTGCATCTTTACAAAAAGTTCATCCTCATCATAGTTCACCCACTGGGATTCCTCCTCATGCAACTCCTGGACCTATAAGAGGAAGAGTGATTATAGACTTATGCATTTAAATGTCTAAATAATTCTCTAAATCAACACAGTTTTGTAATTTCAGACAACAGCTTTCAGAATGTGAGGTTAAATACACTTACCAGAATGTGGTCAACTCTGTCTCGCTTTTTCCGCCCAAATTTGATCATTTTCTGCCAGTCTGTTTTCTGGTTCTGCTCTTTCTTTAGACCACACAACTTTAATACCTCAGTGGTGACAAATTCCTGAATAAAGAATATATATACACACAAATAAACATACGTAAATGATATATATATTAAAATATAGAATAAAAATAATCATCATAATGAGATGCCACTTTCCTTAAAGCAGCATTGATATCTCGCATACCTGGACTGTTGTGATGTCATTGGGGCATTTCACCCGATGGAAGTAGGTGGAATTAAGGCGATGCGGCTTCATCCATTGTGGCTGATCACCTTTTGGATCTTCTGCATAGATGTCTTGAATGACCTCCCATGATAAATCAAAGACGGCCTGTAAATAAATAGAACGGCAAAGATTTTTACTCATCTTCATGGAAATGCCTACAAAAACCATGCCAAGGTTAAACAAACACCTCAATGTCAGCATCTCGATCCCTACCAGTTTGTAGCTTTGTTGGCATTGAGCCTCCAGGTCATTGGCTTTGGAGTCTCCTTCCAGGAAAACATTAGAGGGTTGAGGTTTGGCTACTCCAGTCAGGCTTGGTCTACCATGACCCAGTTTGCAGCTTTTCCAGATCTCCTGAGTAGCAGCGATGACCAGTTTCTCCACCTCCTGGACAGTGTGCGGAACAATCATGGCAGGCTCCTCTGGTTGCTTCATCTGCACGGGAAGTTCAGGCCTGGGCGGTGTTTTGACCTGTTCCCCCGCACCCAAACTCAAGGAGCTAGAAATCCCATCTTGCCGCTGTTGATGTTTTTGCTTCTGCTGTTGTTTTCGTGAGCTGAGACCAAAGTCCTCATCGAACCAGTCCTGCTCGTCACCAAGGACATCGAAGAGCTCACGGCTCAGTTCCAGCTCTGCCAGACGTTTAGCTAGCTCTTCCTGTCCACTCGTACCCAGGACAGGGCTCTCCTGTTGAAGAAGCATAGTTAACACTAATCAAGATCACCTCTTGCAACTTCCATCAAGAGAAGATCTGATTTATCTTTACATTCTCTTTTTGAACTTTGCAACACACTGCAGGCCTAAAAAGAGGGTTCCAAGGTAACATCAGCCCCTAGATGTCTGTCAATACAGCTGGAAATGTCAACTTAAGCATTACACATCAGCAATGTTATCAGCTTGTTGGGTAAATCATTCACTTCATTTCAATAAATAACTTTGAAGACTGGGTTATTTTTAACTGGTTTCTCATTTCATCTATTATAGGATCTTTAGATAAATCAAAATGGTCACTTACAGGTCTGTTGCAATGCTCTGGAGATGAAAGTTCCTCCTGATCATCATCAAAGAAGGTGCGGAAACGGTCCGTCTTTGTTTTAGATGAAGACCTGCTCTGAGACTTAAAGTTGTTGCTTCCAAGTCCATCATCTTCATTGATGAAGTCTCTTTTCAACTGGTTAGCAGCTGATAACTTCTCCTCTTTGTCTTTCTTGATCTTCTGAAATTGCTTCACCGCATCACTTAAGAAGTTTTCCACAAGTTTATCTGCTAGGATAGTCAAAGCCCTTTTGTTATTCAAGTCTTCTCTATTATCGAGACTGGCCTCCTCGATTGAGATGTCAGTGGTTTTCGGAAGACCATCAACTCTGGACTTCTTATCCTCAACCAACAGGTCCAAAATGACTGCTGTTGGTTCCTCTTCCTGCTTTTGTTTTTTGGATGTACCTTTATCTAAATTATTGAGCAATGGAACAACATTATCAACAGATGTGTCCTCGAATTTGAGAATGTCCCTGACTCTGCCGTTAGGCACTGTGTGCTGACTTTTGTCACAGTCCTTAATGATATTGCAGTCAATATCATTAAAATCCAGGTTATGCTGAGATTTAAAAAAGGTGCTTTGACCAGTGGAAAGCTGTTTGATGTTAATTTCCAATGGCTTTTCATGCTCATCCAAAGGCTCTCTAGTCTCAGGATGCAAATCTAGGTCAGATTTTTCTCCTTTAATTTTGTTTAGCAGATTTCTGTGCTCTAACTGCTTCTCAGAACCTTTGTTTTTACTATTTGGCTGGTCATCACATGATGAATCTTCATCTTCAGTGTCTGCACTGACCTCAAATTTCTCTGGAAGACGAGAGATCTTGTCTGGCGGGGCGAATATACCGTGTTTTTCCCTACATTCGAAGTACACTACCCCATCGTAAGTTCCATTGTTACTTCCCTCAGGGTTGTCCAGTTCAACCCCGGCCCAGACTCCACTGGCAAAGTTAGTTTGTCCCTTGAATCTCAGTGTCCCTGGTTGTATATTACTAACCAAAACCCGGTCTCCAATGCAGAAGCTTGGCAATTCATCCTTTACTGGCAAAACTGGCATTTGGTTCTGTGGTGAAGTTGAACATTTTGAATGACTCATTATGTCGTCTTTGGAGCCTTTACCAAGGCTATTGAGGTCTGCATGACTTTCAGTTTGGAAGCTGCCATTAGTGCTTCCTGATCGGACACTTAGTTCTTCTTCAATTTCCTCTTCACTGCTGTACATTGGAGACTTAACAGATTTTTCTTTGGGCTCTGGGGCAGAGGGTGATGTAGGCTTTGATTCATGATTATCCTCCTTAAATGACGACCCAAAGGAAGGCTCAAAGTCATCGTTATAACCATCACCTGAGGGTGACGGTGTATCTTTCATCTTTGGTGAATCCTCTCTCTTGGACAATGAGAAGTCAGGGGTATAAGAATGATCTATGGCTGAAGGAGTCTTTTCAGCTGAAGGACAGTCTATATCTTTTGATTTCACTACAGGAGAATCAGTAAATCTCATACTCTCTGCAGCATCTGCAGAATCTTCAACTGCTGGCTTGTCATCAGCATCCTTCTCAGACAACCTTTCCTCCTCAAATTTGGGTTTCAAGTCATTCAGTGATGGAATCTGAAGCCCAAGATCCAGTATAAGCAGAGGGTGAGAGTGTTGGTCAGACTGGTAATTCTCAGACCCCTCTGACTTTGCATATTCCAGTTCCTCCATAATACCTGACTTGTGGCTGGAGACCACACTCTCATCTTCCGAAAGGAGGTCATTGGCTTCTGGTCTAGCAGAATGTTCTTTGATTGAGGGGGCATCTTCAGATTGGTGGCTTGGATACTCTGGACTATGCAAGCTCCTCAAAATGTCCATATGTTCAGGACTTCCCATAATTGGAGTTGGAGTAACTGTAGGAGGATCTTCATCTGAGGAAATGTCATCATGTTCTGATGAATACTTATGAAGTCTTGATGGTGCAACATCATCTGCTAACAAAGGCAGGCAACATACACAATTTTAACATTATGTATACTTTTAATTTGGTCTAAATCAATATTGTTAATGCCAATAATCATGTTTTTAGTCTAAAAGGCATTGCACCTTTATCTGCTGATGTCTCCGTGGGCACAGTCTCTGATTTCTCAGATTCTGTGACGATCTTCCAGTTCTTGCTAGTCTCAGGCCTGTAAAGTAAACATGCATCAAATGTTATGGGAAGTATACAAAAAAAAAAAAATCAGAATGAAGAGTAAATTAAAAATGATTGGTAAATGTCAAGGCTGACCTCTGAAGCGGAGGGGGTTTTATCCGAGGCTTTTCAGTGGCTGACGTGGGAGTTTTAATCTGGGGTTTAGTAGCTGGAGTGCTGTCTGGCTCTTTACTCAACTCAGCCTTGGTCTTCTGAATAAAGTCATTATATGACTGGGGAACCAGAGGAAGACAAACATTAACAAATATAGCATACTGACAATTTTTTTAATAGCCGATTAAAAAATATAGCAAAATAATACAGCAAGACAAGTGCTTCTTTAAGATGAACAGCACACAGAAATAGGTGAATATGAAAGGAGACGATGGCTGACCTCCAACTGTTTCAGCAGACTCGCCTCCTGAGCTTTCAGTCGCTCTTTTTGCCTCTTCTTTTGCTCTTTCTTTAGCTGATACACCACAGATTTGCGTTTACGGAGCTCGTCCTTGAGGGCGTGAATACGGCTCTCAATATCGCTCTGATCAGATGTGGTCTCTGAGGTAAGAGAACGAAAAAAAAAAAAAAAAAAAATCACCATTGTCAAAACATTGTCTTTGCTTTAAAAAAAATAAAAAAATTAAATGCTTAAGATGGCACTAAACATTGTGACAAAGTACAACATTTAAATAATAAAGATAGGCAATGTTTTAAACCTAAAAGCAGCACAATTTCTTTTAGCACAGTCTCTCTTTTAAGACAGATCATCTGTATAAGGCAGGTAGACTCATCTGTGCTGCTATAACATGACTAAGTGGTTTGATCCAGAGAAGTGCACACACAGAGATAAACAGAGCATTATATTTTGCTGGCACAGTGTTCCTCTTCCTGCATTCACATATCCAATTTAGAAATGATGTAAAGGATAAACTGGAGCAGGCTAAATTAACATACCAGGTATGTAGCACCTTAAGAACTATGATTTGGAAAATAAATAAAGTAAAAAAAAAAAAAAGACCAAGGATAAAATGGATTAAAGGTCCCATGACATGCTGCTTTTTGGATGCTTTTATATAGGCCTAAGTGGATATGCTGCAGTCTTCAAAAAAAAAAAAAAGTCTACATTACGTTGATAGAGCAAATCCAGATAATTTTCAAAGTCTAATGGGGGCAGCAAGGATCTTACCGGATGGAGTGGCCGAATGAGGGTCACTGGTGCAGGCCTCACTGGTCTTGGAGCTGGAGCGCACCTGCATCTTGCTGCTTCCGCTAGTGCCAGTGACAGTCCCAGGCCGGCTACTGTCTGAATGCTGAAGAGAGCTGAGGCTGGCTTTCCCTGGAGGAGACTGCAACACATACAGGAAGAGGGATCCAAGGTCAGGACATGTAAATCACACTCACCAAAGAGAGCTATAATCAACCCTGTTTAATGAAACAGCACATAAACAACTTTGGACTACTTGTAACTCGAACACATAAACATTAGATGCAGAATTAAACACATTTTTTTTTTTACAAAACTCAGTGTCACTCTATGTATAGTTTCAGTTTTCACCTGTTTGCTGTCTGTGGCATTAAACTCAGGTGAGTAGAGGGTATCAGGGGCAGGGCTGCTGCCCATATGAGGAGAGTGTAGCTCAGAGACAGGTTGGTCTGAGGAAGGGCTGGCCAGCTGCTCTGGAACTGACAAATCAGTGTGCACGCTGGACACAGACAATGCTGGGGAGTCATCATCTTCGCTGCCTGCTTCTGTGAGAGCATGCATACAGATACACAAAATGTAACAGTTCAATTCATAATCATTGCTTTGACGTTCTTATACACTGACTTACAAAACTAGCTAACATTTAAAAATCTGGGGTAGGTAAGATTTTTTAATGTTTTTGAATGAAGTCTTTCAAAATGGTATTTGTTTGAGCAAAAATACAGTACCACACGAACAGTGTGAAATATTATTACAAATTAAAATAACTTTTCTATTTTAATATATTCACACACACACACACACACACACACACACACACACTCCAAAACATGCTTCCCAAAACAGGCACGGCTCCACTTGGTGACCCGCATTAATTTTAATGGAAAAAACAGCCCTATTGTGCCTTTAACATCCTTATCAGGGTAAAACTCATGCATCTGATACAACTCATGGGTGACACACATGGAGACAAACTCCTGACAAACTGAAACACGTAGGTTCCACCCAGGGTTTTGACAAACAGTGTTAGGCTTTTGTCTCTGTAAGTGCAATCCTGCAATGGAATTACTTGATTGTGCATTTGCTATATATATATATAAAAATAAGGCTTTGGCAATACAAATGTATAGATTTTAGACAAGATAAAGCACATTAAAGTGAAATTTGAAGAATTAGAATTTCACAAGCTGTACTGAATATTACAAGCATATTTATAATTTTAGCAAGCTGTGCCAGGTAAAAACTTGTGCTTCACTGAAGGCAGGTCATTATTTTTTCAGAAAAAAGACCTCCATGTATCATGACTTTGGTCTGCTAGATCAAACCCGCCTGGCTTTTTCATTGAGGTTTAAGATAATTAAAAACATGTTAGAGAAAAACAGATGGCTTTATCTAAAAGCAATCGTCTTGCCTCGTGAATACAGCGGCCATCTTCATCTAACCATAAATTGTATTATGTTGCCTCAGTCATATATACTCATTAGCTCATCGCGGGGTACACTTATTTAATCAGGGGCTGGAGTTAAGATTTACTGTGGCCATTGGGCAGATGAAGAAGTCCTAAACTAGCATTATTCAGAAGCATACAATATATCAGTCTGCCCGGCCTGTCTGAAAAGAGATATTCCTCTCACTCCACTCACCACGATAAAAAGTTCAAGAACTGATTTAACGGAGACGCTTTGTGTGTGGTGCATGGTTGAAGCTCACGAAAGTTGTTGGGGTTGTATTTCACCACAAATCAGAAAAAAAGTATCATTTTTCAAAAAGACAATAATCCCTATATTTAAGATTATTTACATTGTGATTTTCATGACAATTAAATTACTAAATAATTCAACCCCCCTTATTTCTGTAACGCAAATAATATACATTTAAATAAATGTTAATATTAAATATATATTAAATATTTTTATATTACATTAATGCGAGTATAATGACCATAAAAATATAAATGAAACATTACAACATAAAAATGAAAAATAAATCATGTAAAAATTATTTTGTTGCATTACAGGAATGAACATTTAGAGGTATACATTTTCTTGTATAATTTGATGGTCACTTTGCAATTTCTTGTAAAGTTGATGGTCATAAACAGTCTTCATGTATGCAAAATAGACTTTTATTTTTCCCCCTTGAATTTAATGTAAAATGTAGACATGTTTTCGTGAGATTCACCATAAATAAATTACATTTACATATTAATACAAAAGAGACTAGCAACAAGGCAAAGACTGGATTTGACAGGATCACACCACAGAGACAAAAGACGTAAGACCCAGAAATCACTCATTTAACCCACCATGATTTAAACAAGTCTAATCTTTGGCTTTGAAATTGAGGGTAATTATTTTCAAAACATTTGCCTGTATTTGATCAGCAAATAAAGGCTCAAAAACCAATCACAACGGATAAATCATTTTTTGGTAAATCATTAGAAATAAAAATAATCTTCCCCAGTCAGATAAATAACTACGTTTAATATCAAACTAGCTTTAGCCAAAGAATCAGCTTATTTTAGAATGGTGTAGCCAGTTCATTTTCATCCATCCATTCATCACTGCATTCCTCTTTCGGTTTTTATCCCCACCAACCCAGCTGTGGTAGTGGATGAACAAAAGCATGCTCCATGGGAAATAGGTGCTGAGAGAGGGGAGGAGGGAGGGACGAAAAGAGAGAGGAGGATTGTGGGTAACTGTACCTGACCAACTGGCTGTAGATAAAGAGCTGGAATTTGGGGTGGAGTTTTGGGAGACAGACAGACAGAGAGGCCCAGTGATGAGCCGTAAAGACAGAGAAGAAATAATGGACAGGAGAACAGTGTCTAAGGAAGAAAGAGAGGAGAGGACAGTCAAAAATCAAGAAGAACAGTGTTGGAGAGAATGAAATAATAAAAGAGTAGAGAGAGAGAGAGAGAGAGAGAGATAGAGAGACATAAGAAACACAGATATGGAGACAGAAAGAGAGATTGAGTGTAAACATGTGTATCCTTATTTTTCTCTAGCTACTGTGCAACAAACACATCAACCAGTTATTGACTTTTAGCGGTTAACTACATGCTGCAAATCCTTAACAAGCAACTACCTTTGAGTGTCATACTTACAAACAAGTAAAAAAAAAAAAGTTTACGAGTAGATGAAAGATGAAGATGAAAGGTCTTGGTAATTACAAGCTTTTCTGGAAAAGTGGCCTGGAAACATCTATCTGCCCCAAACAGCAGTCTGGAGAGTCTCACAAAATTATCAGAAACACCTGTGTCTTCCCAAAATTAAAATAATATTTAGGACTGTTAAGATTTTTTGGACTGACACAATTAAAGTTCAATTCTAAGTACCTTAAGTGAACAAAAAAGTAGTAGTATTTTATTTTAAATGCAATAAAAATAAAAACATTTTAAACAGAATTATTCATAAGTATGTTTGTTATGAACACCTGTGAATATACATAATGGTAGTATGAATTAATTTATGCTGATTTCAATTTATTTTATTTTTTTTAACAACTGTTTATGCTGTAGATCTATGACCCAGACATTTCTTTGTGAAATTAACAAGTTGTTTCTCTATGCAGGCATGTCAAGTGAGTTATTCTGCTAATTTTGCTGTGATAAGAGGGTAAATACATTAATATATTAAATGAACTAAATAAAGGGAAGACGACAATGCAAATCACAATTATCATTGCTTTTAAAAAAAGAGCTGCCTAGACTGGATTACAAATCACTTTGAATGAGACGCAGGATAAAGTGATTATACCGATGAGTGCAGAATAAATACAGCTGGAAGTTATACAAAAGAGATCATCATGCTATTAGTGAGAGCTAGAAAGTGAGCAGAAGTGTGTGAACGATGCTACAAATCGCAACACAGCATGTGATTAGTTGAATCAGACAAGCGTGAAATCCCCTTCCCTCTGTGTACAAATTTTATTCTCAGGACAGAAATATTTGTGTCAGTGCTATGAAAAGTTTCTGACCAATGGGACGACCCTCACCAGTTGTCAAGATATGATTGTAAACAAGAACCTGTTGTCAAGGATTGAGTGGCTGAATATGGGAGAATGAGATTACACACAATAGACAAAGCAATTAGAAAACATGTGGAGGTCATGAAACGCATTAGAGAAACCTCATGACCTGCAGATTGTTTCAGAAATCTCACTGGCAGAATGTACATCCTGTTTACTAGTGGCATAAGGAAGCTGTTCTCTATTTTAGATGTGAAAGATTCCTCCTTTCATAAAGGGAGAGGGGTGTTTTCCTACACAGAGGACGCTTATGTTCAAACCAAACACTGTGCACACAGAAATAAATAATAAGAAATAAACACTTTAAAATGTCACATGGTCAGCAAGCTGTAGACGAACCTCGAAGAAATGAATACATGTTATTAGTAGCATTAGCTAGTCATAAATAAGAAATCGCTCCTGAGTACATTAAACATTCATTGTTTGTTTGGCCTTCTTGAAAGAGGTTTGCACTACATAACATATGCATAAGGTCATTAAAGTTTGGTTAATATAATCAAATGACTTTACAAACCAATGCATTATTTGAGAGGACAGAAGAGGGAAAAGATGGAAGGCTAGAAAAGAAACATGCATGAGGGTTTATTTACTTTTCGTCCATGTGAGACCGCATCTTTTTCAGTTTCTGCATGATGCTACTGGTTTCACTGCCCGACACAGACATGGGGGAGGGGCTACGGGTCTCTGCATCTGTCACAATCACGCTGGGCGGAGCAGACTCCTCCGCCACACCTGAAACGGGTGATTCCTGCATATGTTTCATTAAAAAAAAGTGCGATATGTTCAATACACTACATATAGAGTACTTACAAGATACAAAAAATGCTTTTATTCAGGAAGATTAAGAAACCACAATCTTTCAGAGGACTGACCAGCTTTGTGTCGGCACTTTTGAGCCGCTCTTTGAGTTTGAGTGTTGTGTGCCTCATTCTTTCAATCTCCTCCTGCTGTTTGAGGAGCAGCTGTCTCTCCCTCCTCGCTGCTTTATTGGCTTCCTGCAGTCGTTTGATCTCCGCCTGGGGATAAACAACACAGCAACATTTTAGCCTTTAAACATGACAACATTTAAGTAATTCAGTTATGACTATTTAATTTATTATACATTCATTTGCAAGTGTAGCTTAGAGATCATCTCATAAATCCACATATGAATGTCACCTGTTCCTGTTGTAGCTTCAGTATCAGGCCTCTCTGTTTCTTACGAAGGGGTGGCATCTTATCATCCTCTCCTTTATCTCTGAGACGCCTAGTGGAGAAGAAAGGAGATGAGGAGCATGTCACTACAGTTCAACAATTTTAATCAAGCTGATCACGCTACTGCCTTTAAATGTATGGGGTTCTATTTCAACATATGAGATTTAACTTACAAAAAAATGGTGCAACTTGACCAAAACATACCACAACATATTTAATTTCAGTTATGAGACGTACATCACTGTTCAAAAGTTTGGGGACAGATTTTTTTTTTAATTAAATTAAATTGATCAAAAGTAACAGTAAAATCATTTAACAAAAGATTACAAAAGATTTATATTTTAAATAAATGCTGTTCTTTTGAACAGTATTATTCTTCAAAGAATCCTGAAAAAAAATATAATGGTTTAGAAAGCACAAATAATTTTAACATTGACAATAATAAATATTTATTGAGCACCAAATCAGCATATTAGAATGATTTCTAAAAAATCAGAATAAACTACATTTAAAAATATGATAATATAATATAATTTTAATTGTAATAATGTTAGAATATTACTGTTTTTAATGTATTTTTTGATTAAATAATTGGAGCCTTCATGAACAGGACACTTTTCAAAAACATTTAAAAAAATATTACTGATGCTTTTGAACAGCTGTGTATATATGGAGTTACCAAGCAGGGAATATAGCGTGGAAAATGTAGGGTGACAAATTATTATTTTCATATTATTATTTTCTCCCGACCTGTGCAACCTTGATTACAAGAACAGTCATTCATTTCAGAGGCAATGAATGTTATTAAATTTACTTAAATTTTTCTTTTGAAAATTTGCATTTTTGAATACTAATATAAACCAGAGCAATTATTAAGAAAGCAGATATGGTCCATTTTGATTTCATGTTAATGAATGTTTGTCCTGCCTCTTCTGGTGTTCCATCATATTATTATTTTCTCCCGACCTGTGCAACCTTGATTACAAGAACAGTCATTCATTTCAGAGGCAATGAATGTTATTAAATTTACTTACATTTTTCTTTTGAAAATTTGCATTTTTGAATACTAATATAAACCAGAGCAATTATTAAGAAAGCAAATATGGTCCATTTTGATTTCATGTCAATGAATGTTTGTCCTGCCTCTTCTGGTGTTCCAGCCAGGCCAGTTCAGCCTTGGTCTTCTCTCGGAGGGCCTTCTGACGCAGACGCAGCAGAGAACTCTGATGTTGAGCGCGAACTTCCTCCTCCTTCATGTACTGATGCACCAAATCCATGGTGAACTTCGAGAAGCTGTCCTGACCACTTGAGAAGGGCATGCTGCCATCCTGCTGTGTATAACGTGATATGGTTGCAGGGGAAAAACAAGAGCTGAGTCACTTATCCATCCCATATAAAAAAGAGCTGCTTATCAACACACCAGGAAAACACAAACAAACTCCAACTATGACAACCAAATAGAACAAAACACAACAGGCTTGTTTGTACTGAACACAACTGGGGTCAGAGTTATGCTGCATGAGGAGAGCTGACAGGATGTCACCTTTGAGCTTGCTCTGGGGCTGGATCTGTCATGGCTGTGGTCATCATCAGAGTCGGGATGAGGACTGGGCCTCCTGTCCAGCGATTCGCGTCGGTGGGCCTCGGATGGTAAAAGAGAGCGGAACGATCTTTCTTCAATGTCATCCTCTGTCATAGAGTCATCAAACTTCACAGAGTACTCTGTGGCGATGGAGGCACTGTCTGCTGATTGGAGGAATAGACAGGAAGTGGTCAAAACAGCTCACATTTCTCAGGACAGACTATTTAAGTTGCTTGCCCCCAAAAATGTGAGCTTTACCTTTCTCTTCAAGTGGGCTTCGCACATTGTCCGAGCAAAGGGAGTCATCGGCAGTGGTGTGAGCCTGGTCCTCCACTGAACTACTGCTCCTGTCTTTTCCTGGTGTCTTCCTCTCCTTTTGATCAGAATGAGGTGGACTCAGCTGGGTACTACTGCTTCCACCACCACTTAAAAACAGAGAGATCAGCATTTACACACTATGTTCTATAAAACCATTCATTTGTGCTGCAATAGAAAAATTGGCTAAAATGAAAAGTACATGGCGTTACCTGATGGTGGGTCTCCTGGAAGGGATGTACTACTGCTTCCACCACCACTTAAAAACAGAGAGATCAGCATTTACACACTATGTTCTATAAAACCATTCATTTGTGCTGTAATAGAAAAATTGGCTAAAATGAAAAGTACATGGCGTTACCTGATGGTGGGTCTCCTGGAAGGGATAGACTCTGAGAGGCTGTCTGGTGGAGTCTCGACCTCTGATGGACTCTTACGTCTCTCAGGAGACAGCTCACTCATCCAGCTACTGGAGAAGATCCAAAACAGCATCATTACTGATGTATAGATCACGATCACTAACATGACAAATTTGAAAAAATCTTCCACATTAGAAAATGGAAAGTGAAAACATGGTTAAAAGGACAGTTCATCCAAAAATGAAAATACCATTATGATTTACTCATCTCCATGTTGTTCCAAATCCCCTGCCGTGGCTCTCATTTCTCATCTGCACTTTTGCATATTCAAACTTTCACATAAGATCCAAGGTTTGGAACAACACAAAATAATGATAGATTTTTATTTCCCGATGAATTATTCCTTTAATGCAGAACATTATCTGGCTTTTATGCTTAAGTGAAGCTGAAGCATGGTTCAGGAAGAAGAATCAGAATAGTGAATGGCCATGTCTGAGGTGAGTGAGTTACCTGTCAGTGTGGGGGTGTGGCTGCTGCTGTTTCAAACCGCGTTTGTGCTGTTTCTGTTGATCATACAGGGTCATAATGGAGGGGCCAGGAACACTTAACGCTCCTGCAATCTGTGAACGAGCCAGCTCAGTCATCTATAGGGAGAGAGAGAGAGAGAGAGAGAGAGTCAAATACACTTTTAATTCTTCAAGCTGACTTTAAAGAAAGAGCCACAGTGCCTTGAGGGAGGATACTTTACAGAAGATAAGCATGTAATCTTGTTTCTAAACTTTTGGGGGTTTTATAGCATACAGTTAAATACCCAAGAGTTTGTGTATTAGATATTTAGTAGGACTGAGAATCTTTAGGCATTTCATCATTTATTTTCATTGAGTGAGTCAAGATTTAATTACAAAAATTAGTCCAAATACTGTAAAAAGACTCTACATACAAGCCATATTGTCAACTGTGATCCACCAATAGAAATAAATGAATGGAATTTCTATCTAGTATTATTCTAGTATTATTTATATACTATTAGAGCATTTATAAATATTTAGAATTAGCTTTAAGCTTTTTTTTTTTTCACCTTTTTCATTTTTGTTCAACTTTTAATATGTTTGTTATGTGCCTGTTTTTTTATGTATTTTTATTTTTATTTTTTTTTACTATTTAGGTTTTAGTTCAGCTTTTATTTCCAGTTAACTTAATTTCTAATTGTCTAAAAAGTTCTTCTTTTTATACTTGTACTTTATTTTGGCTTTATTTCAATTAACAAAATAGTTTTTAATATGTTTAGCTTATTTAATAATAACCCTTCTATCTGTTCTGTCCAGTTTATGCTTCTTAAAAATCATAATTATTGGTAATTATATTTAGAAATAAAATGAGATCTTCAGTGACTCAATCCAGAATTATTTGGGGGAAAAAAAGCTCACCTCTTTAATGTGTTGTGCCGTTTCAGCTGTTTGGCGTGCAGCCTCAGCCTGCTGGTTTATCATTTTGTTTGTGGCCTCATGCAAACCTCCTAAAGCCTGCCGTTGAGACTGGAGTAAACCCTCTTGCAGCTCTGCTTGGGCCTTGAATCCAACACAAGTATCCGTTTATTAAAAACATGCAAATCATTTAACTAAAGCTGCCATTTTTAACTTGGTCTGAATCAGATTTTGATTTCATCATCCTTCCCTCGTAGATCAGAGGTGGTCAATGTCAGTTCTGGAGAGTTTTGCTCCAACCTTGACAAAAACCAACCTACCTTGTAGCTTTTTATTAACCCTTAAACACTGATTAGCTTGTTCAGGTATGTTTGATTAGGGTTTGAGCAAAACTCTGCAGGCTCTCCATGACCAAAGTTGGCCACCCCTGTTGTAGATCTATTTATACATGTAAACTCGTTCAGTACTGTTAAAAAATATATACATACCAGAATACAGTATACCAGAGCGCACCTATCATACAAACAGCTTTCAAATGAAACAAACAAACCAACTGTTTGAGAACATGAAATGTCCTCAACAAAAGATCCTAAACTATTAACAAATTGGTGCAAATACCTGTGCAGCTTTCTGTCTGCTTTCTTCCAGTTGCCGTTGTGTTTCGAGGGCTTCTTGCTCTGCCTTCATCCTTAGCAAGTACAGTTCACGCTCATGCCTCTGTTGCTGAGACTGCAAGAAAGTTAAAGGTCACCCTCAAATACATGGCCACATGACCACAGCAGGTCAGATAATCACTTTAGCAGGTGCATAACTTCACCTTGAGAATCTGAGCGAGCGAGACAGTTTCCTGCTGAGCAAGAGACACGCCTCTCACTCGCTCCACATCACCGAGCTGTCGCACTGACTCTTCCACTGCATCCAGGTAACTGAGCTCAGCAGACAGGCGCTGCTGGAGGACCCCAGGAGCAAACTGGAGCTCTGCTGAACCTGGGGACACATAGAAGAGCAAGTAAACCAATTCCATTCCTGAACTGAAATTATTTTTCCATCACAGCAGACTTCTTTAACTTGTAAGCAACTGCAATTCTAGACAAAAATCTAGACAGTCAGTTTACCTGCAGTCCTGTGCTCTGTTCTTCCTGGGCTTTGAGTATGGGGTGAGGGGTTGGATTTAGCCCTGGCAGCTGATGAGGAGGAACTGGGCAGAGCTGCGTGAGGGGAACCCGACCCCTGGGCAGACCCTCTGATTGGGATACTGTCACCTGGAGACAACCGGGAAGAACCAGAGCTGGCTGGAGAACCAGCGGCAGGAGTTGTACGAGCGCTTCGGGGAGATTTCTTTCCCTCAGAGCCAAAATGACTAATGAAACAAAACAGGGAAATAAAAATAATTAATAACAAGAAGAATAATAAATATTAACAATATTAGTAGTAGTAGTAGTAGTTGGGGTCAATAAGCTAGTTTTGGAAAAAAAAAAGTTTATTATTAATATTAATATTGAGAATAATGATAATAACATTATTTAAAAAAGCAATAAATTTTAATAGCTGTATTTAATTGATTTTGTATTGATACATTTTTGTTATTCTTATATTTGTTTTAATAAACAAACCAACTTCACATAGATTATTTAACAACATTTTCTAATTGAAAATTAATCTACAGGGTTCCCACTCTTTCATGAACACCAGATTCAAGGACTTTTTAAAGCACCATTTATTTTATATCAAGCACCTATCAAATTCACACCCCAGAATATGTAGTTTCATGAAATACCTTACATTACTTAACATTTCACCACTTACACTTAACATTTACATAAAAAATTTCAGAGTAATAATGTTTTTAATGTGTAGGTTTCATAAATTTAGACCGTTTTGAGCAGTTGTGTTCAAAGGAATTTAATTAAATCCATCGAAGTCAGTATTGGTAATATTCAAATACAATTTCTAAAATATTGATAAAATATGCATCAAACTGGTTTTTGCTGTAGTTCTTGTACAAGATTTAAATTTGAAAGAATTTCTCAATTTTAAAATGAATAAAAAGTGGTTAAATGTTGTAATAACATGGTAAAACCTGTTAACATTAAAAATGTGCACATTCACTCAAAAGAGACCTTACTCATTAATAAATAAACAAGTCAAAATAATTTTGTAAATTACTTTATTGTAAATCCCATTTTTTCATCTTTGACCTAGAGGAATGCAGCTGCTCAAAATGTCAATATGTTTTGAAAATATTTAATGAACATTTTAAACCTTGTACATGTGCAAATCTGCAAAACAAATATTAAGAAAATAAATGTAAAAAAATAGTACTTTCTATTTGCTTTTAAACTGTAAACACTTTTCACTAAGCTGTTTTTCCAATTTTTCAAGTTCTATATTTTTCTCCTTAGCTCCATGTTGCAGTAAGTTTTGGGAGCTCATTTTTAGTCCATCTCCTATCCTGAGAAGTCTGTCTTGCAGAAACTAAAAAAATGAGCTCCTAAAACTTACTGCCGGATTCTGGAAGATCGATTCTTCAAACAGTGGTACAAGAGGATGTGGTGCTGGTCCT